AGGTTCGGCCAAGTAAGTACAATGGTTAATTCATATTCTAAATAAAGTGTGTTGACGCTTTGTATGCATGGCTGAGTACTAATCCAGGAATTGTTTCAACACACTCAACCGTCCAGRAAGACTTTTGTTTGGAAAAGAAAACTATCTAAGTAATCTGAACTACAGTTTATTGTGACAACATCTTTACCAAAAAGCAACCTATGACAGTGACTTGACGCAAACTTTTCTAAAGTCCAAAGCAAGCATCACCATTTCGTTATTATTATCATAATAATTTTCTTTACAAAATTACTGATAATCTTATTAAGCCCGAATTTTAACAATTCTTTAAGTTGTATTTTTTTGTGAATGTTTTACGATTCAAGTTTATTTAACGTGTTTGTTACGGTCAAGCGAAAATAAAATCACTACGTCATTGTCTAGCGAAACACCTTTTACAAAACAGTTATTTTTTGTTGCTATGGGAACGTTGTTKAGAAGTCATTATGTCGGTTACGTTTTATATTCATRATTRTATGCTCAGCTTCAGTTTAATTGTTATAAACAGCACTCGATACCATTTTCAAATCTTCTCTTAGCCTCAACGACAATGTAATGAATCAAATGACTTGGGATTGAAATGACATGATTTGCGCAAGATGTTTCAAAATTTGACGTAAGACAAACGCGTACTTACGTACAGACAACAGACGTACACGTGGCCACTTGTGTAGGATCTCATTAACGAGACTGATCTAGTATCTTGACACTWGTAYGTGCGTAAGGGCTAGTTCCTGTCTTTTGRAAAACGGACGTCAGCTCTCAGACAATAAAAGTCGTAAAAATGGCCAAGCTTCGAGTTCTACAAACGAACTAAAKAATTCTGATTGAAACATGGTTGCAAATTGAAATGGGGTTTTATCGGCTGGTGGTATTGCGGGGAGAATTTCATTAAAACGGCAATGACACCGCCCATTGATACCGTGCGGACAGTCACAACTCTACTGGGAAAAAGAGCCATGTTATTAGGCCATTGATCAGTTAATGCACTTAGGTTAATAGCTAGTTTATCTAGGCGGATTGAAAAAAGTAGATCTCTTTGAAACTAACATATATTGGAATATATCACTTCGTCCGTAATACTCAAGAAAACCTTTAAATGACGCACCAATATTGCTAACTGCTTCCGCGCGACATCATGGCATGTGTATTTTTATACAACCTATTTATTTTCGGTGTCTCTTTATCTGCAGCGATGTTCATCTTACCTTATGCTAGAGTTATCAACCCTGTCGTAGTGCATGAGTGGCTTGTAGTGTTTTTTGCGTGTGTAGCGTTTTCTCAACTTGCTGTAAATATATCTTGYAATATCCTGAGTAAACTCGAAAACGGATTTGAATATGAAAAACACAACTGTGACCCCTTGCTGAGAATTTCGTGTAAAAACGAAAAACCATTCAGGGGTAGATTGCGAATCGTACTTCTAGTTTGTTAAATATTGTTATTACAAATGTAAAAAACCAAATATACAACGAAAGAAAAAATTCCGCGGTTTTATGTAAAAGTTTATGTGAAAAGTGAGTAAACTAAACTGCACCTGTTACTTCATGCAATAACAATCACACWAAATAGCGACGGACACATTATGTTTATCCTTTATTTGCTTTCTAAATCTCTACAAAAACCCAAGGAAAGTATGTACAATACATCAAATGAATATTTTTGTTTTCATCAGTGACCGTGCTACGTGGGACGAAGCTTTGTTATTTGGTCATTACGTGCGTCCTTAGAAACAATGCCGCTTGGATGATTAGTTCGGCAGCTCATGATACTAGACTAAAGTTAAAACATCATTATTATTTACAGAATAATAGTTTTATTGTTTTGTGTTATAAGTCTTATGTGCGGACGGTCCGGCATGGGAAGACAGATTCGATGCGAGAAACCCAGTAAATAAGTTTTTGAGAAAGCATTCTCTCCATAATCCGCGATTAAATTTGTTGATCTTTTCCTGGCAGAACCATTTACTGGACTGAGGTGTTGACTGCTTAGTTGAAACTAAGAAGGTGAATTGTCTTGTCTAAGGGCGCGACACCACAGTCTATTTACCTTGGCTTATATTAGTTACTAGATCATCACGTCTTTAGGTATACATCAACCACCAGTAAGATAGGTACACAATCATTTAAAGAGACGTAACAGTTTAATTATCTGAATCCAGTACGTGATATCCATGTGATGTGCTCATCATCATGTAGAGGAGGCTACCATGGCTCACAGGAAGACTAAGAATTTGGGGATATTGTCCAGCAATATCAATGACTTTTTTGTACAGATGTAGAACTTTAGTTTCGCTGATTTGACCACGATCGTACATATCACGATCCATTGTTCGTTTRCAGTTTTAACTACACCTAATTACAAACAAAAAACGTTGTCATGGTCCGCGTACAAAGGTGATATCATCGAAATTAACACCGAAGGGAATTTTAAGTACTCAGAAATTCAAATCATGTTTGCCTGAACATGTTTCACTATATTAACACTCGTAGAGAAGGTCATTTCATTCAGTGCAGGCACTGAATGAAACACTGTTGTACTCATAAATATTTTTTTTTATCATGCACCCTTTCCTGTCTTAGATTTTATGATGCCACCTTTTGGAACCCGACTACGGTTTGTTAATTAGGTGTGTCTTGATTATTGTCAGATAGTTCTTGGACGGTTGCTCCAGTCTTCATGCAAATGATGCTCAGCACCGTTTTCTTCATTTGTCCATTGGTCTTCATCCAGATTATTGGGTTTGCAATTGCATTGACATGCAACAAAACTTGCATCCAATTGTTAGCCAACCAGAAGAGATCAGAATTGATGGCCTTGATMAGGACAATAGGAACATGACAAAAAACAAGCGCGACSACAGCATACACCACGACAAYTGCWGCATTTCTCTCTATCAAGGCATCCCTCTGCTGGTTGCTAATGCTTGGAGGATGTAATGCTGAATTTAAATGCTGTTTAATACTTATATACACCGATATTTGTGACACGATGATGAAAACGATGCACAGACTGAACTGAATGACCACAAAACTGTTTTTTTGTGTGGGCGTCATTACGCCATTATATACCCCAGTGAATATGATACTATACACCCATATACAGACTAGCAGCAGAAGGGCTCTTTTTTGAGTCACTGTTGTACGGTAAAGATGGGGTTTCCGTATGGCAAACCATCTATCGATGGAAATCAACACCATACTCATCTGTGCCATTGTACGATAAGAAAACATGAACACAATCTTATAAAGCTGAAGATCAAATTTAGCACAAAAAACTCTCGTTTGAACAAGTGTTATGGATCTGTATATTTCCAGTGCTGCTAAGACGGTGACGAGGCATAAGTCTTTCACACTAAGACTACAGAAGAGCAGTGCAGAGGTTGTACGCCGAAGACGTTGGTTTTTACAAACAGCCAGGACAACCAACAGATTAAGCAGTAAGATCATTACAAGAAGAAAGACGTTTGCAGTTGCTGTCATGTAATGAGATATCAAAAAGAAGTTATACTGCAAAGAAACAGGTTTCCCTTGAAGAGGACATTTGCTGAATGATGAGAATTGTGGGGCCCTTTTGGTACTATTGCCATTCATCGTTACCTTCACTTGCAGCACTTCTGTGGTGACTGTAGTTTAATCTTTGGTGCCTTCTCGGTTCTGCTAGTTTAATCTCTGGCAATCTACAACGCCTTTTATTTTCATGTATAAGTTAACAGGTGCGATGATATCGCTGACAAGATTGTACACACCCACAAAAAGGTCTAATAAGGAACACTTCAGTTTGAGTGATTTGCTTCCGTCGAGTGCTTAGCATTATCAAAATAGTTTTTAAAGCACTTGTCATAGGAAAACATCACTTAGGACGTTTTTCATGAATTTGTCATCAAAGTGTATGTTTATTTATCAAACATTGATTTGCGTTACAGACAAAAAACTACAGAAATGAACAGAGTGTCACGAAAAACTATATGTCCGGRAGTCAAAATAATTCACCAAAATCACAGTAAAATGTATTGATGAAATCCAGTTGACAATTTAAAGCTTCTTYGCCGCTCGGCATAGCATACAATCGACTTGTCACTTAGATTTTTCACGTCTYTGGACAGGCTCCCGGACAGAATGTCAAAAACTTATATGTCCGGGAGTCAAAATAATTCACCAAAATMACAGTACAATGTAAATCCAGTTTAATCAAAGATACTTTACTGTATTTAGGTGCAGATAGTCTTCCTTTTGTTGACCAAATCCAGTTGGCAATTTAAGCTTCTTCATCGCTCGGAATAGTATTCAATCGACTTGAGTATCTYAAGTAGCGCKCTTCTATAAGAGTTATTGAATGCAAATTTTTACTTTTCTATTTCTAGTGCGTGTATTYGCCTCAATTTTTTTATTTGTTTTATATTAAATTTGTATTATACTTTAATATATCTTATTACCATACTTAAACATAAAAATATTGAGCTAAGAACTTTGAATAGGATCCATTGAACTATAAGATAAATTATTCTTCAATATTATGTTTGTGTATATTGGCCATGCTTATGTATATTGACACTAAACT